TACCCCGATATACAGGGTGGTCCGAATTGTATTCCGAAAAGTTCGGCAGTATATTTTGTAGATAAAAATAAGTAAAAAAGTTTGTATAAATGTATGTTCTAAAATGCTTAGTTTTGGAGATACAGGGTGTAGAAATTTCATTTTTATTTCGATTTTTTCCAAATAATTTCTGAAGTAACGTCAATATTTAGATGAAAATTGGTGTCTGGGAGTTTTTTAACGTGAGAAATTTGATTTTGATGTCAATATGGCTCCTAGTGGTAGAGGGCGCCACCTACATGTGTTTAACTGTTTTGAAGAGTAATAACTTTTTGTCCGTACCTGTATAAAACTACCGAGGGAAAAAATATACATCTCTGTGATTTTTTACGTAAAAAATATCTCTTTATAAAAATCTCTACGAACAACCGTTCAGAAGATATTTAGAATGAAAATAGTCAATACCATGCCATTATTAACGAAAAATAAACACACGTTGAGTAGATAGTTATTTCACTGAAATAATAAATTTGGGAAATTTTTATTTTTTTAAATTAATCATATTTTTTTCTGCAAAAAAATGATGATAAAACAGTTTTTGTTGAACTTTTGGTACAAAAACATTTCAAATTTATGATCTCAATCTAATAACTATTTAGTCAACATGTTTAATTTATGTCAGTGATGACAGGTATTGATAATTTCGATTCCAAATATCTCGAAAACCATTACTCGTAGCGATTTTTACCAAGAGACCATTTTACGTAAAAAGCGTCGTAAATGTATATGTTTTACTCAGTAGTTTTATACAGGTACGGACGAAAAGTTATTACTCTTCAAACTAGTTAAAAAATATGTAGGTGGCGCACTTTACTAGTAGAAGTCATATTGACATCAAAATCCAATTTCTCACGTCAAAAACCTCCCAGACACCAATTTTCATAAAAATATTCAAGTTACTTCAGAAATTATTTCGAGAAAATCACAATAAAAATGAAACTTCTACACCCTGTATCTCTGAAACTAAGCGTTTTAGGACATACATTTATACGAACTTTTTTACTTATTTTTATCTGCAGAATATGCTGCCAAAGTTTCCGGAATACAGTTCGGACCACCCTGTATATTTGAAATATTCCTGATAGTACTGTATGGATCGAAACAAAAAAAAAACGTCGTCAAAGACGGCTGGAGAATGACAAGCGATAATAATTTTGGCAAGGTCAACCTCTTGACGTCATTTATTAAAAATTGACATAAAACTTGTCAAAATTAACACTAACTATAGAAAGATTAACAAAAATAATTAGTTTCCAGACACACAAATCCAGTTAAAAATAAGTTTTACTCGATATAAAAATAATTAAAACCTTCATAAGGCCAACTGGCAGTAAGCGCCATTAAAAATAAAGAAGCACTGACGTCTAGGGCGTGACATCGCCAAAATTACATTGATTGTCATTTCCAGCCGGCTTTGAAGCCTTTTTTTCGATCGTATGGTATTTTGTGTTTAAGAGATAAACACCATTTTCTTATCTTCAAAAAATTCCTATGGGTATTTCGTAAGAAAATCTACAAAATAAAATAATCATTTTTTGTAGACACCACTGCGTTAATCCAATGGAGACTTTTACTGTAAGCCAGAATTTTTGCTCTTTCTGATTGTAATTTAGTTTTAATTTCCAACTAAGCTTACCATAAGATGTCTGTGATAAGTAATTGTGATAAAAATAATTATCAAGCATTTTTAAAAAAAATTACCCTTTTGAATTTGTTTGTGATTGTATTTTATAACCTGACCTCTGTATGACTATATTAGAATTGTTTAACTATTCTGAATGCAATTTGATTATTTTAGCTTTCTGGACCTGAAGATAGGAATTAATTGAATCCCGAAATATGTCGCCCCAATTTTAAATCAAATTAAATTTTGAAATAACCATCCTAAAAGATTGTGAGTTTTTTGTGTCCCCTACCCCTCGTCAGAGGTTTTTACATTATTTAGATATTTTTTTTGTAAAAATCGATACAAGCATCCAGATAAGATAATAATTATACCAATTCCCATTTACAAGTTACTAAACTCGATTTTTAAAAGTTTTTCAATGACGTTTATTTTGTTTTACATTTGTCAATTAGAATCCAAATAAAGAAATATTTACATATGTCGAGCAAAGGACAATTAGCACTGACATAAATTTGACCGATCGCCTTGATATACATTTAAAAAAGAAATACACCAATTTAGAGGCGCCATTAAAAAAATTAAGAATGATTTATCCTAAATTTGAACTGTGGTAACTGACCAAAATAACTGACGAAGAAAAGGTTACAATAACCATGTTTATGTTTATGTTCTTTCTGTTAATTATAAAATTTAATAGCAAATTTAACATTCTGCTTAAAGTGACATTTTCTATGATGTACACATTTTTAATGAAATTTAAACACACCGTGAATATGTAAAAATATGTACTGAGAAAAATATTTCATATAATGAATTAATTTAATAAATCTTACTAGGAGATAAAAAAACGGCGTCGGCGATTCCAGTCGAGATTTCCAAGCCAGCTAGACGCTATTTTTAACGTACGGTATAATAGATATAATAAATATTCAAGTAAAAATATCTGGAAAACATATATAATTAAAATTAATGACCTCCAAATTTGGAATGAATGACAACAGAGCATAAATCACAATAGACTCTTTCAGAAATATTAAAAATAGTATATTGTTTTGTTAGGGGTAAAAATGACACTTTTTGTGGCGAGACTGTACGTTTGACATTACAGGGGAGGCACAAAAAGTCATTTTTACACCGAATAGAACATTCTGATTTTTTTCAAACGTCACTAAATATTTTTTTAAACAATTTCAAACGTTGCAAATAATATAAAAAAAAATAAAAATAATACCTTGCATGTAAGTAATTATTATATATCGAGAAAATATGGTTACCCGTTGAATTTGACACTTTATTTCAGTTTAATAATATATTTTCGTGTGTGTTTTGCGCCTAGGCGTTAAAATGACTTTTTTATATTGTCAATAACGTCGCAAAAATTAATACTTTTGTGACGTTTCAAAAAATTATAGTATATTATTTTATTAGGAGTAAAAATGACATTTTTCGTGGCGAGGCTACGGCATTATTGAAAAATGACTTTGTATGAAACGTACGCGTTTCATACAAAGTCATTTTTACTCCGAATAGAACATGCTATTTTTTTAAAACGCCACAAATTATTTTTTAAACAATTTCGAACGTTCCAAATTCCAAATAATATAAAAAGATTTAAAAGTCATACCTTGGTATGTAATTATATATCGAGAAACTATGGTTACGCTCGTTGAATTTTACACTTTGTCAGTTTAATAATAATATTTTCGTACTTTTGTGGTTAGGCGTAAAAGTACTTTACTTTTAAGCCTAGGCGTCAAAATGACTTTTTAGCCGACCATACCAATAGGTATGGTAGGCTATTAAGATCGGCAAAAAAAAGTTTTTTTAATTTCACTCAAAATGAGTTATTTGGGTCATAAATGACCTAAATACAAAATATTTTCATGGTGTCTGTCTATCCGTCTGTCTGTTCATCTGCCTGTCCGTCTGTATGTCCGTCTGTAACACTCAAAAACTCAAAAACCGCTAAACCGATTTTTACCAAATTTGGCACAAAAATACTGTGGCACCCGAGAATCTGGCCATTAGTTTTTGGTGGTGGTGGGGGTTGGTAAGGGGATATGGGAGGGGGCTAAAAATTTTAAAAAATCGTAACTCCAAAATTACAGTAGCTAGCGAAACGCGTTTTTCAATTTAAGATTAGGAATAATATTTGCAATAAAATTTGTAATAACATCAAAATCAGTCAAAGTCGCAGTTTTTGAGATAAAAAAAATTGAAAAAATTCCTTTACTTTGAAACTAAAAGAACTGCCTACCAACTTTTTATTAACATATTTTAGTATGGGCGGCTATACGTGCCTCCCGGCGCCAATTTTTTATATTGTCAGTAACGTCGCAAAAATTAATAATTGTGTGACATTTGAAAAAAAAAGAAATTATGCAAAACAGTACATTTATTTAACCGTAAAAATAAATTGAAAATAAATACTAATAATAATTATAAAGTATCGAAATATTTTTGATTACTGATTTAACTAATATAATTGACTAATAATAATTATGAATAAGATAATAGCAAATAATTATATGTAAATAAAAAATACATAAATATTCAAATTTTTACAAAATAGGAATGGTTGCGGTTAGATCGAGTAGCATTATGCTCGCAGCATTTTTGTTAATAACGTTTTGTACTTCTTTTTGGATATAAAGGCATTTAATATTATTATTATTTTTAAATGAATATTAATTTTAATGCTATAATTCAAAAATATAGGTAATGGCCCCGGATTGTCTTTACACGAGGAAAAAGTTTTTTCTTATTGACATTTTGAGAAAAATGCATTTTTCGTAAAAATTTTTACTTGTTCCAAAATGGTTATCATGTTAAAAAATGTATTAAATATTATAAACATAAACTATATGACATTTTCCTATAACTATTATCTTTCCGTAGCATTGAACTAAAGAAATTTTGTGCCAAAAATATGACGATAATTAAAAATCTATCAATGAATGAATACGAAATTATATTACCATAGACACACGTTTTTATTATTAAGAATTATTCAACTATATTTTCATGTTTTCTTTAATTTCCCTAAAACGGTATACGAATTTAGAAAAGTACCTATAAACGGGATTAACCATTTTGGAAGAAGCAAAAATTTTTATGAATTATGCATTTTTCCCGAAATATCAATAATAAAAAATGTTTTCTTGTAAAAACAATCCGAGGACAAAAATAATTAACTTTATTTCAATTTAAAAATTAATTTTTATTTATTTGTCAATAATCGAAAAATATAAACAGAAAATTAAAAAAAATGGCGTACGATCGATAAAAAAATTATCTATTTTCATCAAATTAAAAAAAACATAAAAAAACTCACTTTTGTTTGGAACTAGGCACTTTTGGCGCCAGACTCACTTTTAATTACCACAACTACAACGTTCGTATGCAAGTCTGAATGACTGGCTACCACTCACTCCACTCAGCCAAGCAAGTGTGAGACTACTAAATCCAATCTGATCGCGCCTAACATACTCTGCGAACACCGTATATTCGTCCCTTACCCAGATGAAACGATATCACCACATAAAAGTCCATTTTAAAATGCAATGCCAATGATATATACCTATTGCTATTTGCGTACAAACTCCGAAACGTTGTTTATCCGCTGTATACCGTCAACTCAGAGTACTAAAAAATATAAAAAAATATAAACAATTAAAATTAAAAGTAAATACCTTAGGATATAAAAGATAGACTAACCATACACATTCATTAGTGAGCAAACATAGGGCCTACCAGAAACATTTTTGTATTATAAGGGTATTATTAAACAATTTTAAAATTTTTGATTGGAAGATTTCTTTCAATTTTTGAAAAAACCGAAATTAATTTTTGTTTTTATAATTTTTCTACGTATTTTATCCAAAAATTTTAAATATTGTCAAGAAAATCAAAGTGATTGAAATTACAGCGTTTTATACAGGGTGTCCTAATATTCCGTAGACATAAAACTACTGCGCAATTTTGGAATCAAGATAAGTTCATTGGATTTACCTCTATATAATAAAGCTTCGTTTATCCGTCAGGGGGCATCAAACTTTGAAAAAATAGATACTTTTTTTAAGATATTTTAAAAATCCATATTCCGATTTGGATGAGATTTGGGGTACCTATGTTTTGCTAAAGGGTTTAACATTTGACTTTCACAAAAATCACAAAAAAAATACGGGAAGGGTGAAAACTATCCTCAACCCTACATTAATTTTAGTAATAATATTTTCCAACTCCACCGACAACCGATATTTTGTCCCTTGTAAAGAAAGCAGATACGCATACTACGGTATGATCGAAAATAAACGACGTCAGCGATGGCTATCTTCATTTCATAGATTAACTAACAACCTAACCTAATCGCTCTCATTTTATATGTAAAATTATATGGGGAATGTCCACGATTGTCATTTCCAAGCCAACTGGACGCCATTTTTTTTTCGATCATACGGTAGGTTGTATGTTAGGCTAGGTTAGGTTTCTGTGGTTTGGGATCATATTTGATACCTCACTCAGAGGCTTTGGGCCAATTGCGATACCCCTGTATTAATATTAATGTTCCTCTCATTCTTTCTTTGTGTTAAAGCACTTCCAGCTCTTTGCAAAGTTCCCGATGTTGCTGATGTTGGCTTCTGCTGCTTCCTCTAGTCCAACCAAAAAACCTTGCCCTAAAGTTTTAAAGCGTCGGTATTCCAGTGCCGGACAGTGGCACAGCAGGTGCTCTATGGTTTTTTCTTCCACTCCGCATTCTCTGCAGTAATCGTCGTTGGAAATCTTTCATCTCACGAGGTTTACCCCCGGAGGGCAGTTTCCATTGATGACACCTACAATTATGCGTTCTTTTTGTGCTCTGCTAGTTGTTTTGTCTTTTTGCTACCTACTACTGGCCACAGTCTTTGAGCTGTAGTACAGTCCTAACGGTTTGCCACGTCTCTTGGGTGGTATGAATAAAAATGAAGCACATGCTACTACTAAAAGTATTAGTATCGTCTACGTAGTAAATGCTTCAAAACTAAGAAGAAACTACATTTTGAAGTAGATACTTGTAAATTGTCGCGACGCTACTACACTGAGTAGTACTGTTGTGGAAATGACTTAAGTATTTACTACACCTTGGAGCACCGACTTCTTTACAGTAAAAACTTCGATTTCAAGAAGAAATTGTAGTATTTACTTGGCTTTAGGGAAGTTGGGTTAATAGCAGCTTCATTTAGCAGACTACGGTTTTAGTTTTGTTTAAAAAATGGATATAACACGCAAAAGAAAAATATACAGTACCAGACGACATATCATTGATGATGATTTGTACCATCAAATATTTCGATAATAGCTGAAGTTAAGGTATAACTCGGCAATTATGTTTTAATTCGGTTTTTGTAGATTTAATAGGGGAAACGTATCTTCCCTGGCTAATACATTTACACACAATTATTAGACGCTGAACATTAGACGCTGAACTAAATAACGCTGATATAAGATGCGTACAGGGTGGGCAAATTTAGTCTTGTGGAATTAATTTAAATAAAAAAGCGTGTATACCTGGGACTCTTTGTATTACTGGATTCTCATTTCCGTTCCATAGGTCATAAAATTTTTGTTGCCTTTCATTTAATTTAATCTTGTTATTTCCTGTTCTTTTCATACCTGTTATTTTCTTTATTTTGCTTTTCATGTTATTATTTTTTTTTAGTATTTGCTTACTGTCTAACTTTGTTTTGTATTATTGTTATCATTTTCTGTTAGTTCTTTAAGAGCTTTTTTTGCAGTCTTGATAGCGGACGTCATTTGTTTATCCAGAAGGACCTTGTAACTTGTAATCTTCTAGCATTATAACAAATGCTAATTGTAAATCTTCCATTTGGGACTCTTCTTCTTGAGGCATTTCTTCATCTGAAGACATTTTTGCCGAACCTAAAAGTAAATACTTTAATCAGTGTAGTAAATACACCGACGTCAAGCAAGTTCTACCTGAACCGACCAAATGCTTCATAATGAAGAAAATACTTTTAAGTAGATCCTTAAAGTTGTAGTATTAGCATGTACTTCATTTTTATTCATCTCTTGTTGCTTGGCCTTGATGGTAGTTCCTATAGCTTCCTTCAGTGTGTTGATCGTCATAAATGGTGGCTAATCTACCACGGCGTCTTTCCTGGCTTCCTTTTTGGCAAGGTTCCTTCTTGGTTGCCCACCACATTGCTGTGGCCTGGCATCTAGCACCCAGCACACAGTGAAGTACGAATACTTTGGAGGGAAAAAATAATTTTCCGAATCTGACTTCCAAAAAATGTGCCTTGTCACATCAAGCTATGTATGCGCATAAAATCTATTATGCGCTAATAATTTAGTTGGCGAAAATATGGAATTGTATGTTAGTATCACAAATGATATTTGACAGTAAGCTTAATAAAGTTAAATTAACTAACGTTCTGGTTTATTTTTGATTAATGCCCTCTAACGGACAAACGAAGCACTTTTGTAAAGATGTGGATTGTGGCCAGTTAACATATTTTGATACAAAAAAAATACGTAGGTTTATGTCCACAGAATATTGAAACTCTTGATTTTTTTTCTCAAAAACTATACAAAGTAGCGTTTTTACAAGAGACAAAAAATGTAGTTAATGCTAGGAGGGCCATTTTACAAAAAAAAAATATTAGTGTTTAGTGGAGTAGGAAAATATTTCTACTAAAATCCTTGTAGAGGTGGGGGTAGTTTTTACCCTTGCCGTAGTCTTTCTTGATTTTTGTGAAAGTCAAATGTTAAAGCGCTTAGCAAAATATAGGCACCCCTAATCTCCTTCAAATCGAAATACCGGTTCTAAAAATATATTAAAAAAAGAATTTGTTTTTCAAAGTTTGGTGCCCTCTAATGGTCAAACGAAGCACTTTTGTATAGAGGTAAATTGTGTCCAATGAACTTATTTTGGTTCCAAAACTACAGAGTAGTTCTTTGATCACGGGATATTGGGATACTCTGTATATTTTTTAATTTTCTGCCAAAATAAAAATATTAATAATGAGCGATTATGATTTTTTTCTAAAATTTTTCGAAAAATGTGACAAAAATTATAAAAACAAAATTAATTTTTGATTTTAAAAAAGTTGCGTTAGTAGGTATACCTATCAAAGATGAAAGATATATTTCTTTTAGAGATTTACCAGCTCTGAAAATATTTATATTGGAACAATTTTTTTAAGAAATAAGTGGCTTTACTTAACATTTTTCTCTGTTTCGGTATACTCTATCCTACGAGAGGATCTCTGACAGTGACAGTTGCATCTGTCATTTTAATTTAAAGGTTAATGGTATTTTCTGCCATTTTTTCGTTTTCGTCCCTAGAAATGTTTCCTGACTCGTTGGACTTGTCTGAGGAATAACTTGTAAATATATTTTACTGAATATTTTAATTAATGTTTTTGTTACTCTGAGGATAACACATTCAGCTTCTTTTATCTTTATGGGTTAACTTCTAAGCAGAAGACCAAGTGCAAATATATGAATAAAACCATATTTTTATTCCTTATTTGTTTACTTACATGTGATATAGAAATGTGACATATATTAAAAAGAATTTTGTTTACTGTAAACAACGAATTAAACGACTACTGTTAACCTTTTACCTCTTTAATTATAAAACCTGATTAATGGCTTTAAAATAAAATTACAATTCAATATTCAGAGAAATATATTGCCGCAAAAAATAATTCCTAAAAGCGAGATGGTTAATTTATATTACGAAAATAAAATGTTTATCTGAATTGACTAAGATCTGCGAAGAATGACATTTCTAACAGTAAATTATAAATCGTGTTATTGTTACAAGAAGCAAGATAAAAATAATATTAATTCAATCTTAGATTAATTGTAATGAGCATTATGTGTGCTGTGATAATTTTTAAATGTAGTTTTGGATATTAATTTTTCGACATTGTTTTCGTTATGATAGGACACTGATGAAGGCTATGATGTTAGCCGAAACGTTTGTTTTTTAAAAACCAAATAAATATTTTGAACCAAATGAAAACCTAATTAGCGTTTTCCCGAACCTAAATCCCAAAAAAATCAAATTTAGAATATTTAGAAACAAGGTTCAAGAACTCAAATTTTCCAAGAATAATAGGTATTTAATATGCTTTTTATAATACCATTGTCTAATTACATTTAATTTAAATATTTCATAAAAATACAGAAATCAAAAAAATATCAGTTATGTTATGAGTATTATCATTATGACCATATAAAGAATGTTTTTAATTTCCTGTTAAAATCATTAACAAATGATAAGCTAAAATTAGTGATGAGGTGAAGAACAGGACCGTCGAGATGATAAATCACACAAAATTAAAACCATCAACCGCGATTTATAATCGTATTTTAAGGATTTACGTCAAATAATATAGTGAATAATAATAGAGTAATTAATAATTACTACTTAAATTGATTATAATCTTAATAGTAATTAAGGGTTATTATATTTCTTCAAAAGTCGAATATGGACATTGAGGATCTCCATCTCGATTAATATTACTAGAATGTAGAAGAATGTAGAATGTTTAGG